TAAAAATTTAAAAATAACAAAAAAATTGAAAAAATAAGAACATAACTGAAAAAATAATACTGAAAGCCTAAGGGGTAGAAAAACAACGTTATACACTGTTTTCTCCAAGAGTTGAATCTTTGCAGCTTTTTGTGATCAACAGTCTTGGTGCGAGCCATTTGTGCTGCGCTGATTTTGAGATGTACTTGCCCTATTACAAATGTGCTTCCTTTGCCAGGAGGCTGGGCTCAGTCTAAGTGGCTCCAGATTCCACAAGGTGGCACTGTTTTGCTCCCTGAAAGCTTTCAGCACCCATGCGCAGGATGAAAATGGTGGTGCCCCTCTCTCTTAGCCCTGGAGCTGAAAGTTCGTGCCCCCCACTCTTCAGTGAGCCCTCACAGAAAAGCAGTCAATCGCTCTTGTCTCCTGGTTTCCATTAGAACTCTGTTCACCCACCATGTGACGGAGCGTTTTTGTCTCAGGCATGCTGTTTCAAGTCACTAAATTTTACGGACACCTGCTGCACGGACACGCACTGTTCCTCCCTGCAGAGGGAGGGGGGTCTCGCCGTGCTTCTGACGCTTGCTGGGCCCTTGCGCAGAGAGTGGATGCACGACTGTACTGCAGTTCACAGTTCATGGCAACACAGAGCAGAAAGCTGGCACCTAGACTCGCTGTTTTTGGCCAGCTTCCCCACTCTTATTCCTGGGAACCTGCCACACTCAGGCACCCCCCGTTCTTCTTGTGACCCCCAGGGATCCTGAGACCACCCTGTCACACCTGGGATTCTGTGCCACTTCGCCACCTGACCAGCTTTAAGTCAGGGACTTAGGCCACTGTAGCTGACTTCTAAAAGTTCCAGTTTTGCACCCTGCTGCTTATAACACTTTGTAGTATCCTCCTAAAGCACATTCCCTCCTCTCTGCTGTATCCTCAGATATATCACTCCAGATTCAAGTGTCTGCACTTCCTACTTTTGAGAAAGTGGTCGCTTTTTATTTGTAGAATTGTAGCATTTCTTTTCTCAGATTTCCGAATGATTTCTCAGGTGTTGAGAATGATTTGATAACTAACTAGCTGTATTTGTGGGACTAGACAAACTTAGGGTCCTCCACTCCTATGCCATCTTAACTCCTTCCCTAAATATTTAAAAAGATGAAGTAGGAGTAAGTGGGCCGCAGTTGAATTGGCAAATGTAAAAGGAGTGTGTTATGTGTGTGTGTGTCTGTCTGGGTGGGTTCACAATCCTATAGATTGGTGTATGGGTATTTGTGTATGGAGGTTTGTATATATGTGTGTAATTGAACACATAGGAGCATGTACGGTTGTTTGTATATGTGTGTCTGTGTACGTGTGTGTATATGTGTGTGTGTGTGAGTGTTGCTCTGAGAATTCCTCATCCTTGCCTCTACTCAGGCCATTTCATGGTTGCCCCACCCCTACTCCATGGGTTATAAGGGACAGAACAGCTCTCCATCTGCAGGAAGTGAGGGGTTCGGGGTGATGAGTGTTGGGGAGCTGGTACTCTTCATAGTAGGAAGAAGAAAACAGGAGCTAAATTGGTGGGACTCTCTTCCTTTCCTGGGTTCTGCTTAATAAAAGTGTCAGACTGTTTTAAGGGATGTACATGAATTGAATTATTTAAAACCTTATAATAGCCCTATGAAATAGGGATTGCTGTCAACCCCATTTTACAGTTAGGGAAAGTGAGGTCACTCAGAGGCTAAGTGACTTAATTGGTTGAGCCATGATTCTAACAAAATCATCAGGCTGCTGAGCCTAAGTGCCCACTGTTTTTTTTTTTTTTTTTTTGACTCCTGTATACTGTTCACCCACCTCATTAAGGGTCACATCATTCTGTGGTTCTGACAGCTTCTCCTTCTCTAGCAGTGAGTCTTGTCAGGAGTAGGCATTCCTCACTGTCCCTCTAGGGGAGTCCATGGGGTTTGAAGTGACAGGACAGCTGCTTGTACATTGGCTGATGAAGTGTGTTTGCTGGAAGTGGCAGGAAGGGAGGTCACATCTGGGCTGTAGGGAATCAGTGGTGTCTGCATCTGGGGTGTAAGGTGGGCTGTCCAGAATTTGGAAAGGGGGAGACCAGCAGTGGGTGACAGAGTTCATTCCTCGCTGTTTTATTCACAGTCTGAAAGCACAGCCTGTGTGGGCCTGAGAGACACTAGGGTGACCACTCATGTCCTTCCAATCCCTGCTGTCCCTGATTTGCCTTCTTCCGACTGACTTCCTGATTATACCTGCTCTCCAAGGTGAGAGTTGCTGTGAAGTCTAGCCTCACCCCTGCTCAGGGCACTTCCTCCCACCCTGCCTATAGCTCCCTCCTCGGGCCTCCCAGTTGGAGTGAGAGGAAAGGAAGTAGGATAGTAAGAACTTGACATTCATTTTTTTTTTTTTAAGATTTTTTATTTCTTTATTTGACAGAGGCACAGCGACAGAGGGAACACAAGCAGGAGGAGTGGGAGAGGGAGAAGCAGGCTTCCCGCTGAGCAGGGAGCCCAATGTGGGGCTCTATCCCAGGACCCTGGGATCATGACCTGAGCCGAAGGCAGATGCTTAATGACTGAGCCACCCTTGATATTCATGTTTTAAAGAGAAAATAAAACAGATGAACAAAGGAAAGGGAAGGAAAAATAAGATAAAAATACAGAGGGAGCAAACCATAAGAGACTCTTAGCTATAGGAAACAAACTGAGGGTTGCTGGAGGGAAGGTGGATGGGGGGACGGGATAACTGGGTGATGGGCATTAAGGAGGGCACTTGATGTATTGAGTACTGGGTGTTATATGCAACTGATCAGTCACTAAGTTCTGCCCCTGAAGCTAATATTACACTATATGTTAACTAAATTGAATTTAAATTGAAAAAAAAAATACGATGTCTTCAAGAAAGGGAAGGACTACCTTATGGGGAGGACTGAGTAGTTCCTTGTGAGCTGGTGGACTGGAGGCTCAGTGTCTTGCTGGATGTAGGCAGGAGGCTGACCTCAGTTTCTGGTCTTTCCAGCACAGCTTCTTGCTTCAGCAAAGCTTGCAAGTGGAGAAGATAGTAGAAAGCCAGCTGGCAAAATGGAAGTCATGATTGTTTATATTCCAAGATCACCACTGCCACATTTTATTGGTTGGAATATATTCCAGGTCCCACCCACACTCAGTAGGAGGAGATTCCACAGGACCATGTGGACCGGGAGTTGGGGACCATTGGCCTTATTATAGACTCTGTCTTCACAGGATGTTGCAGGTGACAGATGGCAGGAATGGAGGGTAGCAAGGTCTCTGCACTGCATATGCTCATACGCAGGCTGCACAGTCACTGAACAAGGTAATTATCACTCTGGGTTCCATGTTGGACAAGATGATCTGCGGGCTGAGCTGTGTTATCCAAGCAGGGTCCTAGATACGAGAATCACGCTGTCATTTGGAAGGTCTGTCTTAACTTTGTGGAACCTGAGAGGTCGTCCTCCCTGAATATTTCCCCTTTCCCTTGTCAGACCTTCTAAATCTCTAGGAAAGCACCATCACTAAACTGAACCATTTTTTTGCTTTCCTGTGTCATGTTCCCAGGGAAATCCTGGTCTCCCACTATCTCTGCCAGTTTGCCTCCAACGAGATCCTGCAAAGTCACTTCTTGTGATTCCACTTTGTCGGTTTCTTTCCTTTCATCCAGGTTATTTCTTAGTGATTTCCTCTTGTATTCGTGAGTCAGTTACATTAGGAAGTCAGTATTCTCCAACTTAACCTTTCCACTAATTTTTGGACCAAATGGGCAAAAAAAGTTCTCTTTCCAAGTCTCAGCCCCTTCCCACACAGGGACAAGACAGTAGTAGGGTTCCTGGAGAGTCAGCTGTTGGCACAGATCCTCATCAGCATGAGACAGGTAGGTCACAAAGGTGTGTACCTGTATCTTCTTTCTGTCCCTAGCATGTGGTACAGCACCTGGCCCACAGTAGGCACTCAATTAGCTTCTGTGTGGAGGCTGTCTCCCCAAAACTCATAATAGTTGCATTTACCAGGTTATTCACCCAACTCTGAATTCCTTCATGTTTCTCTCACTGAGCCTAGCAGAGAGCCTGACATCTACTACTGCCTAATAGGTGTCTGCTAAATGGAAGTGCGACTTTGGCAATTCAAAATTTTTTTCAACTGACTGATACATGCACAATGTTTGAAAAATTTACATAACATGAAAGTATAGAGTGAAAAGTAAATTTCATCCTCCATCCCATCCATAATTCTTCCAAACTCTCTCCCTGGACATAACAGCTGTTAACCAGTTTCAATAGTATTATAGGAAGAGATTTCCATTTTAGCAGGTGGTGCTTTTTAATATTTTATTTTTTCTATTTGAGAGAGAGAGAGCGAGCATGAGCGGGACAGGGGAGAGGGAGAAGCAGCTCGTGGGGCTCGATCCCAGGACCCTGGGATCATAACCTGAGTGGAAGGCAGATGCCCAACCAACTGAGCCACCCAGGCGCCCCTAGCAGGTGGTATTTTACCAAGTTTTCTATCTGTATCTTTTTTCTCAATATTATATTGTGAGACTTTCTCACTATTTACATACAAACTGGTTCAAGATTTGATATTGATAATGACAGTTCTGTAGCTGATGATTTTCAAAACTTTAAGTGAAGCAAAAATCGTCCTCATTCCATAGTGACAGAATTTCATGGGAGCACATGGTCACTTAGATTAAAAATAGCCTGATTCACCAGCCTCCCAGGAGGCTACTTTTGTCTGTGTGACTACATTCTGGCCATTATGGTGACGCAGAATGAGGTAGTAGGTGTTGCCCTTAAAGGAGGGAAGCTTCCTCTTTTTCTGCTCTCCCTGTCCTGCTCATGGACCACAGACATGGTCTTAGGTGCCCTGGGTCATGCTAATAAGGGAACTTCCCAGGGCATCGGCACCAGCGTGCCCGGACAGCCCTGTGGTGCAGAGCGACCCTACAGCCCCGAACGGCTCGCCTCACACATGGGACACACACACACACAAGCTGCTGTCCCGCTTACAGCACTGTTAGCTGGGTTTCTGCTGCACCCCCTGAACTAATGCATATGGAGAGGAGAGGACTTCCAGGACGGGGTGGCCATGGTGGTCTGTTCTGGAGATGAGCAGAGAGATAGATACACAGGGGGCAGCACTGTGGGCTCCCTGGACATTCTCTGTGTTGAAGGAAGGGAGAGCTGGGCCCCAGGGGCAGCACAGAGAGACTGGAGACTGTTCTCTCATCTTTGTAGCCACGGGGGTGCCTGGAGGCATGTGGGGGCTCACCAGCTGTTATATTTGGGGACCTGTGTTTCTTCCCTCCCCGTCCTTTTCCCAGAATTCCTCTGTTCACTGCAGCCAGGATGAGAATCCCTGCTGGTGATTCCTCTTCCTCCTCCTGTCTGAAGGTGGTGGCTGTGGAGGTCGAGATCTGGAGAAGAATCAATCCCCTCAGATGGAGAAGGAACGCAGGGTCACTTGTCATGGGGTTCCATCAGAAATCTGCTCTTAGATTTCTGTACGTCCAAGGCTGCCTTGGATGGCGCACCTTGAGACAGTTGACTCCAGGTCCCTCGCATCTTGTCTCCTGGTGATCCCAAATACTCACTGCATGACTTCACCCTATTCTGTGTGTCACCAGCAAGTCACTATGTCCAGCTTCTGTTCCCAAAGTGGGTATTACACAAGGGCATGAATACTGGAGGATGGGAACACTGGAGCCATCTTGGAGTCTGCCTACAACAGGGGTGACTTTGGGAACCACCTGAATGCGTGGCCTTTCGCAGGCCTGTGGCTAGAAATGCAGAGACCAGACTGAATGAAGAGTTCAAGTCCAAGGGTGTTGGTCACTCCCCAGGAATCCAGATCAGAGTCGGGATGTCACACATTGTTGCAGGTGGACAGGGAGGCTCCACCAGTCAGGTGAGCACAAGCCAGACTCTGACCCAGGATGTGGTGACACGGAAGCTGGGACAGTGCTGCCTGCATTTGGCACAGGTGGCGTGAGTGGCCGTCGTGTCATCCAGCTGCCAGGAGCGGCAGCGACGGCAGTCCTGGCCTCAGGGTGCGGTGATGTGAACAGTGGGATCTGTGCCCAGCACCGGGGGCAGTGATTCCTATTTGGGCCTTGACCTAGGGTGGGATGGTGGATTCTGTTCCTGGCTGTGCAGCCTCGGGCCTGTTCTGTGGCTTTCCTTGAAATAAAATGAGGCCCAGTGTTCTAACTATATATACACATAATACATATATTTCCCTATAAATATATATTTATAATGTATAAATATAATTTATATTTTATATTTCATATCATTTTATCTTAAATATTTTAATACTTATTAAATATAATTTATATGTTATATTACATATTATATTTGAAATTTAAATGTATGCATATCTTCCTATGTATATATGTTTCCCTGTAAATACATATAGTTTCAATTAAAGCAACTTGGACTCTGTTGTTGAAACAAGGAGTGAGAAATCCATGAGGGAATACATTTAGAGAGCACAGATTTACAAATTTTTTCCAGTTTTATTAAGACATAACTGACATATAATATTTGATGAGTTAAATATTTGATGAGCAAAACCTTTTGATCTGCTTTATGGCAAAATGATCATCACCATAGAGTTAGCTAACACCTGCATCGTGTCACAGTTACGGCTGTGTGTGTGTGCGTGTGCGTGTGTGTGTGTGTGTGTGTGTGTGTGTGTGTGAGCATTCAAGGTTTACTCTTTTAGCAATCAGAGTTCTTCTTTATGTTGAGCTCCTCCATCTGCCGCCTGGCTGTGCCGCATAGGAGAGAAAATACGTTTCTC